TATTTGTTAATGTTAGTTTTTGCTTAGCTATTTGACAAAAAGTAAGAAAAACATTAGGCCATTGTGTATCTAAAGCTATAGTAACTATAGCAGCCAGTGTGTTTGGATCTCTGCCAAGGAATAGTGAAGCTATTTCTGTGACTCATGGTGACCCAACATAGTGTTAAGCCCCTTCATGTTGGTCCTGTGCTGCAGCACATAGCTGTAATTACATGTGTTTCCCAGCTGAGCCTCCCGGATGCCATTGTACAAAAATGTCGTGGCTGTTATGGCAGCTGGTTTGAAGGAACCACTGTCAAACCCGACAGCGAAGCAATTCTTTCTGCTGTGCGGCACCTCACATTCCAGCCCTGCATAGTTTGGCCAAGTGGAGCATTAAATTTGACCAATTATCTTGAGGTCCATCAGGGCAGGCTGGCTCGCGGTAAATGGAGTGAAACCTCTCATCAGCAGAGACGACCAGCCTTGTAAATGTTGCCCCAATGATTATTGTGGTTCTGATAACATACACTAAAATATGTTGTTTGCCCCTTTCTACTAACTTTGAACTGATCCTACTTTTGAAAGCTGCTAAACCCACAGCTTAAAATCCTAGAATAAAGAAATCTGGACTCTGCAACAGGTTTGTAGATGGTTTATCTTTCTTGTTCCTCTAGTTGCTGCCTTATATAAATAAGTACTGACCAGCTTGGTTTGATAAACATGAGCATTCTGTCTGTAGTGCACTGACTCTGGATGTTAGGTTTACAATCATCACACCATGTTGAACCCCCAGCATGTACAGTGTTAAATACCAGATTTTTATCCAATGAGGTTTTTATTCCTCTCTAACAATCAGTATATTCTGCTTTCCATGGGGAAATTAGCATTAAGTTAACTTCACTTTCCCACTCTTTTGAAACAAGGTTACCTCTTGTCTTAGGATGCCCTTTTATTTTTGCCAGAGGTCAGGCAGTAAAAGATACTAATAGTAACATGAGGGACTGGGCAGCTGACTGCAACAAAACAGATTCAGTCTGAGATGAGAGGATTTCTGGAATAGCCAAACGTCATGCAGTCTGGTTTACATGGAAGCAACAACCGGTTTCTTTGGCAGAAAGATTGAGGCGTGTGTGCTTGTCTTTCTTTGTGAGTACACAAATGTCTAACTGTCTTTTGTTGCCGCTATAGAGTGTGTGTACTTGTCTTTGTTGCCTCTTTAGTTTGTTTGTTTACTTGTCTTTATTGTCTGTGTAGGACCTATAAACACTGACTTTACCAGTAGACATTATGGGGATCGAACCCAGTCTTGATGATGCATTAAGTTATTTCTGAGGTCCTGGTTAATGTTGGGTGTAATAAGTTAATTGTGGTTAGGTTATGGATAGAGTTAGGAATGAATTGATACGTTTTGGTTAGGCTGTTTACAATGAATGGAAGTCAATGTAATGTCTGAATATGGGTAGCTGCGCAAATCTGTGTGTGTCCATGAATCTCTATTACTGTCTGTATGAATGTGTAAAGGGAGGGTTTCTGTGTTTGTTTTAGGAGTTCAGCTGATATATGGGGCCAATAATGGACTTAAATTAAGAATGGATGTCTAGTGCACGTAATAGGGTTCACCTTTGATTCGATGGAATGATGTTGTTTGATTTTGTGGATGCATCATTATTATTGTTGTTGGTGCTATGATTTGTTGGTTTTTAGTATGACATTAAACATCAGATGCTGGTTCATAAACAACCGTATTGGCCTACAAACGCATGCACTGATCCGCTGTTAAAGATAGACAGGGCCAAGCTGTGGTTTTATCAGTCAGTATATGTGTAGAGGTCTGTGTGTTTACTGGGTCACCATGGATCCTGTACTGGTGTCATTAGGCGGCACTGTATGGTTGCCCAGCTGCAGCGGGTGATGGTATGTCAGCTACCACACCACAAACTGGCAACCTGGACCCCTGCTCTCCTCAGTCTGTCTCTGCTTCTTGTTAGCTTTATTCTTTTTGTGTTATTACACCTGTCATCCTCTCTCTCTTCCTCAGAACTGAATCCTCAGGAGACTCTGCTGCACTTCTCCGCTCGTCGAGGTCTATTTCGGGTTACACGCTTCTTGTTACAGCAGCCTGGAGCTACAGAAGCCCTGCGATTGGTCAACAGACAGGGCCACACCCCATCCGCCATTGCTGCTTTGCGAGGACATGAACGTCTCCACAAGCTTTTAGAAAAGTAAGCAACAAACTGGTTTCCTTATGACAATAAACGGCTTCTGTATAACAACACCACTGTATTTTAGGTAAACCTTTGAATTGTAGTTGTTTTCAGTTTTACATTGCTTCAAAAACATTAACCTAAAGACCATTTTCACACGTTGGCCATTTCCCTCAAATGTTGTTTTGTCTGCAACTGGGTCAAACCAGGGGTCATAATGCATTGCCAGATCATTTTGATCATTTGATTATTTTTATTTCACCATATTGGACTGACAGACAGATGGTCTGACCCGTGACGGGTGCTGATGTCCATCATGCCAACAAAATTTTACAGTATCACTTCCTGTTTGCCTTCAAAGTAAAAAACAATGTTTTTGTTGCTGCAGTGCTTTATAATAAGCGAATATGCAGAGCTGTTATTTAGAAAAAATGTGAGCTTTGGTCTGACGATTGTGTTGGTTGTTTAACAGACCTGGCAAACAGGCAACATGTAATGTATAAATAATAACAGCTGTATACTGGAACAGCTCTTGAGCACGAAGACATGAGCCAATAAGTAAATCATTCAAACTTATGTATATATCAATGCACACATCTGTTTCATTTTATAAAAAATATTGACTATAACATCTTCGATGCAGATAATCAGATAGGATGAACATACAGTTCCTAACTTCACTCTGCACCATCGACTGTTTGTAGAAAATGTCTGCACACAACGTCCAGCACACACACAATAACAAGTGACAGTATATTTTAGAACTGATTGAGGAGGACCAATGACAAGGAATAATTCTAAAGTAGCGCAGGACAAGAGAACAGGTACTGCACTGGTGACTTATGAATCTGGATCCCAGCATTACAACATTATTCTGTTCAGTGTGAATATGGTCTACACACATAGTATACAAATTAACTAATGAAATGTCTTTGAGGCGTAGAAAGTAAAAAAAAATACACAGATGTGATATGTAGACACATGTTGTTTCCTTTTCTTGATAGAATTGATCACATATGGTGTTAAATTGTACGTTAAAAGACTCAACACGACTGAACCGTCTCCTCAGTGTTTGACAGTGAAACCAGTTCAGAGTTTCAGTGAACGTTGCCCTCCTCTCCATACAAACACTGTCATGTCAATATATCAGAGGGTGGATGGCGTAGGTTCCTCCTCCTGTGGGGCAAAATAGTTTGTCTGTTGTTTTCATGGAACAATGGAAGTATCCACAGAGCATCACCACAAAGCCACACTGCAGCCTAGCTTCAGCACTCTGAGCTGCAGTGAGAGAGTTGAGGGAAAATTGAAAAGTTATGGGCTTCCATTATTGTTCCGAGGGAACTTAATTGATGGATGGGAATCTTCCCTCAACACAAAAGCCTTGGTTACAACTCCTGAATCTACTGACTATGTTTAACTGTAATTCGAAACAAACTGCAGTGTTGTCCGTCTCGAGTTTAATTGCAAGGTTATTTATGTGATTTTATTTTGGATGTGACAGGTATTATCCCTAACAATGCTTTCTCTCTGAGTGACTCGTGAGATCAAATTCTTCTCATCCTTTTATAATGAAACCTTAAACTGCAGAGAGGAAAAGGCAGCTCTTTGGTAAATGAACTGAGACACGGTTTAAAGTGGAAATGGACCCCGTTTATGTCTTCTAAGCACTTCACTTATCTGCTGCGGAATAGTTTTCACTTAACTCAAAATGAAGATGCCACAAACTGAAAGACAGCCCCCACTTAGTGAACACGCTCACTGCCAAGCATGCACTTGAGCTGCTTTACAACTTACAGCTCTTTCTCTCTTTATGTGTTGGTAATTACATTTCCCTCATGAAAAGTGAAGTCACTCGCAGCCTGGCTGGTGACCTCAGCGTCCGGCCTCACAGCTCAAGCAACCCACCCAGGATTACGCAAACATATCTGCCTGACTGGGAGGTGTCTCCCATTTACAGCACTATCTTTATGAACAAAAACACTGCACATACTTTTACCTTCAGCACTTCGAGCAAATGCAGCATGGGCAGGTTTTCTTGGGAAGCTTATCGATAAGGAGTGGTCTTTTATCACTGGGCGTATTTTACCAGGAAAGGAAAACACTTTTTTAGAACTACAACGTCTGGAACCTTTTAACATTTACTAGCTTCTTTATTACTTGATAATATCTGTGTAGGTTGGCCTGCTAAGGCTAAAGGCTAAAATAGATGAAAATAACAACCACAGCATTTGACTGTTGGCCTTTTCGTAAAAACAGCAAGCACGTGGATTATTGTTGAAAATGTGTGAGCGTGGATCGGCTGATATTACTGTAATAAGTGCTGTGCTGTGTTAGCCAATCGGGCTGTATAGACCATTCAGAGTGATGCTAGTGTCTGTTTCACAACAGGGCTGACACGGACACAGAGAAAGGGGCTGACAGTGTCCACCAGGTCTCTACAGATGCCCGGGTAATTTGTCACCTCCCCAGGCTGAACACACACACTCTGACACTGAGAAACCACCCTGGCCGCGAACCTCCGACCCTTCAGAAGAGTGTGGAGCAGCTGCTGCACCTGATATGCCATCTCCATGCCAAGGTGAGTCACACCACCCTGCCCTTCTAACATGCTATCTCTGCTCACGTTGACTTCATCCAGGAGCTCTGCAGCCACCGAACATTGTTGGATTGTTTGTCTTTTCTCTGCTCTCATTTTTCTAACCTTCAACCTTAGTTTGTATAACCGGTGGAACACCTTATGCAATCAGTGAGCTGCCGATTGATAAGAGCTAAGGAGCAGCAGCTCAGTTGGTTTCTCTGAGGGAAAAGCTAACGTTTATCCTCCTCCTTCTCTATATTCTACAGGGAGTTTCTGTACTGGAGCTGCAGTTTGATGGTCTGCACACAGCTGCCGAATGTTGTGATGGCATAGAAACAGAGATAACCTGCGTGGAGCAACTACAGCAGGCTGCCACAGCATCGAAGTGTTTGGATACAACAGCTGAAGGCAGCTGGGTAGAAAACTGCCCAGTGGAAAGCAGCAGGACTGATTCAGGACACAGTGAGACTGGGAAGGCAGAGAAAGACGGGAGGTTGTCTGCGAGTACTCCAACATCAGATGTACGCCCTGAGGACCATGGCCTTCACTCCCCAGAGGAGCGGGTGTGTTTTAGTTCAAACATTGGGAGAGATTACTGCCAAGCAGAGGAGGAGGGAAGAGAGCAGCCTGTTGTTTCCACCCAAAGTTTGAGTTTGCGTCACAGGAGTGAAGGAGCTCAGAGTGAGGTAGAAAGGGCAGAACTCACTGTGGGAATCCTACCACCAGCAGGCTGTGGTAAACAGGCAGAGGAAACTGATAGAGCAGAGGCTGTGATCCGGGAAGGACAGGAGGCCACAAAGGGAGAGGACAGATCTGAGCAGGAAGAGGAGCACAGCACAGCCAGGAGGAAGGAGGAGGAGGAGACCAACTCAGAGTCAACAGATCCAATAACGCCCGGTGGAGACAAGAAAGCTTTAGTCATGGGCCAGAGTCTGTCGTTGGAAGGCTCAGAGGTTTCTGACAACTCCGATTCTGAAACGAAAGACTGCGCTCAGGAAGAGGAAACTGTTGGGACAGAAGACATGAAACTTAGTGAGGAACTCTGTGATGGACTCTCTTTAGACGAGGAGACAATGGAGAATAAAGGGTTAACGGACCCTGTATCAGTCTCAAGGGACCTCCCCAATCCATCACTGATAGACAGCAGTGATGTAAGCGAGGAGCCTGAATCTGCTTTTTCAAGTCTCCTGATAGAAGGCCTCCACAAGGGGGAACCTCCACCAGACATAAACAGCCTGGAACAAAACCAGGAAACAGCTGGGAGGGATTACGCTACAGAGCAGCAGCAGGGCTTGGCTCCAGACACCAATTCTGAGAATTGTACTGGAACAGCAAAGAGTAAAGAACTGGATGGTCAGGATGTAGCTGAAACTTTTGGACAAAGTATCAAAAGCTCCTTTTTGCCTGTGGATGAATCTGACAACACAGCAGATGATCAGACCGCCGGGAACTCCACAGAAGATACACAGATTGACCAAGTTGACTGCATGGCCCACAGCCTCTCCAGTGATGACGATGGCAGTTTCCGGTCAGTCGGAAGCTCCACAACGGAAATCTTCCACCCCACTCAAGACAGTGCCACAGCAGAGGAGCAGGACTTGGTTCAAAGCAAGATATCAGAACTGTCCTCAGAAGGATCCATGATGGATGCGGGGCTCATCTCGGAGCAGACCCCTGACAGGGCTGCGACATTGACCAACTGCAACCAGACTGGCACCGAGCCTGAGTCACAACTGCCACCCAGCCCTCAGACAATGGAGCCTTTGAACCCAGAGGGGACAGGAGAGGAACTTGTCCCAGAACTTTCCAAAGAGGATCTGTCATTGGGTCCCATGTTGTCAGAGAGTGAGGACTCTGGAGATGCCAACTGCTCTGTCCTGAATGCAGAGATTGAGCATTCAGCATCGGAGATCACCTGTACAGTCCTAAGTGAACCATGTCAGTCTGTTGCAGAAAAGATCGAAGTGGATGTCCCAGTTGGAGGTGATCCTCAGTCAACAGAGACCAGTGATAAAACTCTGGTTGCCTCAGGAGAGGAGAATGGGCATGTGCAATCTGCTCCAGAGCAACAGAAACAGGACGATTTAGAGACCACAGCAGAAGAAACGTCACCTGACGATGGATTAACTCACACAGAGAATGAGATCAGTGTATCTTCATCACAAAGTATCACTCTGCTTTCAGACAGTACAGAAGCAGAACCACGTTCTCAAAACAATGAACTTGTTGTTGAGAATGATTTGAATGAAAATTCAAAGACATCTGATGCAGTGGATGGAGCCTCAGAAAGCCACAACAGTGCAATCCAAGGTGAGCAAACACTGATTTATTTCAGTCCGATCTCAGGTTTGTTCTAGTGTGACACTCAAATACATCACTGGGCCATGTGCTTGTCAAAGTCTTTTTTCTAAACAAATATGCTAAATCAGATTCTGAACTCCCCTGGTGATTAATGGCAATAGCTCCACAAAGCTAAGTGCAATGTCACCCACCATAATTGTGCTCGCAGAGATATTTGGCTTTTGTGAGACATCCTGTCGTGATATATGGCTGTGTTTTGTTTTAATTAAAAAAAGTAGGTTATTCTAAAACACTTTCCCTAAAATTTGACAGCACATTCAATTTGCCACATCAGCTTATGTCGGGACTGTAGGATACATGGTGACATGTTATGTAACAGTCGTTTTATATCTTTGGCACCTAAGGCCATGTATAGTCTGACAAAACTTCCCTTTATATTCACATGTTCCTTTTAAGTCTCTGTCTCATGCACACATGCACTCCCTGGCTGCAGTATATGTCAGCAGACACAGTCACATTACCAGCGCATGTGACCGAGTCTTACACGCGGAGCCAGAAGGCTGGGTTTCTCCAGAACAAACATACATGGGATGTGAGCTCAAAGCAGGAAGTGAGATCCGCAGAGTCTGTCTTCTCTAAAGTGAACTTGCAGCTCTCCTCTGCTGGCAATTTTCACTCATCAGGAATAATTGTCCTGGACCCAAGTCCAATAAAGAGAGGTCAAGGGCACGGCTGGCACTGTGCGTCATGCAGAGAGCGGGGTGTCATTATGAGCAAGGGAACGTATTTACAGCCTGACAGCGACCGAGCATCATGAGGCTGCCAGAGACAAGGTTTCTGTTGTTTCAAGTTTTGAGTATAAAGATGTAAAATATCCACTGTAATTCTAGTGGAGGCTTAAATACAAAAAGTTAAAAGTCCATTATGGATAGTTGTTTCTGAGACATGGTCACTTACATAACCGCACCAAGACAGATTCCAGAGGAAGAATCCATCTCAAATAATTATATGATATCATCACTAGACTGTTTGCTTTCTGTTTTTATGATCAAAGAATGACAAATTCATTCACATTCAAATGGTTGTGCTCCCAATGGGATTTTTTTTCCAAGAGAGTTTTAGTAGTAAATAAAAGCTATAAACTAAAGCTACCACATCATTATTGTACAACGTCCACCTCATCAGTGTATCTGAAGTGAGAATAGAGGAGTCTCAGTTCCTTTTTGCTTTGAACACTTGTTATTGATTCCTGTATTTGGAGGCTTTGCCTTTAGACTGATTGTATTGTGTTGTGTGCATTTCTCCAGGGGAAGATGTCATCAAGTCTGAAGACACTGTAATTGCTGCAGGGGAGGAAGAAAATGACACAGCAGAGGAAACAGACTTCTCCAGGGTAAGCTTCAAGTCTGTGCTGTGGTTGTCAGCTATCAGACTCTGCTTTGTTGTCAACGCAGGTCGGATTAACATGAGTCCAAGTTGAGTCATTGTTTGCTAAAGCCTTGAAACACCCTTTTGGCATGAAGTCTTTAAGTTTACAGCAGATATTTTAACTCGTCAAACACACATGTAGCTTCATCGCACTGTTGATAGGACGTAGCCACTGTGCTTCTCCTGTTATGACGTGTGCTGTGGAAAAGTTCTGTGAGTTAGATTCAGTGAGGAACTGCAAAGCCACAAGAGAGCTCTGATGCAAACAGGCAAACTCTGGTTAGCAAGATGAATTGAGAACAAACAACAAAACATACAGTACAAGAGGGACAGGTTTTTGACAGGAAAGAAATGTAGGTGATGCTCATCAAGCAAACATGTCAGTAAAATCCACAAATACAAATTTTAATATAGTGGGAGAACCCTGTGTCATTTGCGTTTGTCAAAAGTCTGGCATGTAAGACAAAGTAACTCCAAACCTAAAACTATACACTTATATCCAAATCCAACATTTTTTAGAACATTTCAAACTTTTAAACACTTTTGAACCCAACTCACCACCTTCGTATATACAAATAAATCAACAAATAATACAAACAGCCATACTAATAATAAAAGATGGTGGTGAAATAGTGATTCTAAAACGTCGCTCAGAGATCTGTATATTTATGTGGCTGTGCATCAAATTGCACACATTAATATCAGTCCATTCATCAAGATTCATTAATTATTCCCAACACAAATGTTGCAAAATGTCCCATCTCACCATGTTAAAGAAAGTGAATAACATTTTACTGGATCTACCCCCTGATCTGGATCTGCACCATAAATGAATGGGTTCTTCTTCTCTACCTCAGCATGGTGATCCGTCCAGTAGTTTTGCTTAATCCTGCAACGCATTCGAAAACATATCCTCCTTGGTCGAGGTAAAAAGGTATTTGTTGAAACCCTACAGCAGGCGTTACCATGATGATAAACATAATATTAATTTGCAAACACTGACAGTGGGATTATTCAGAGAAGTACAGTGAGTAAACACATTGAGTGTAATACAAGTACATGACGCCTTCAATTGTTAATGTGGCTGCATGTTTTTAACTGCCACCGTTCTTTGCTTCCTCAGAGTCTGAATACAGCTCATTTATAAGTTGCAGTGTTGGACATGAGTTTAATCCAGAGCTCACATGATGAGGGTGTGACTCATTTCCTTTGTTTTATAATTGAATTATTCTGCATCCTGTTTGCATGACCGGTGGGCACAACAGATTGAAAAAGCCAAGGCGAAGTTAAACTTGCATTTGTTAAGTCCACAACAGAACTTAATGAGAAAGTATGCATGAAAGGAAACACAGTTCATGGCCAGAAAAATTCAACTGGGCTGGTTTTGTTTGTAGTTTCCTCAACTTTGTCATTGATTGTGTGTGTGTGTGAGTAGAAACTAAAGCCTGTCCTGATGACTTCCAGAGTTTCAGGTACTTTATCATGTTGTATTATTCATAAGCCATTACTGCAGATGAATTGTATTTGTTCTTTCCATGGTTTAACAGTCACAAACTATAGTATCTTTATAAAAGTGTAATTCTTTTTTGGCAGGAATTGCTAAGAATTTAATTTTAAGCAGAGAAAAGTAGTTAAATATTTTGGGAGAGAAGGTGGAGGCAGGGTTTGCTCATGAGAAGCTTGAGCGATTTGCAGGAAGTTGAGGTAGAAGGCTGTCTGGAACATTTTCCCCTCTGAGTAAAAGCTTTCAGTTTGAAGACTTGCAGCTTAGTCAGCTGTTTTTTTTTGTAATTCTAGTTAGTGCAGTCATTCAACAAGGAATATATTACCTGCTGGAGTGTCCTTAAGTACGACCTCTACATTTACTTTACCATTAAATCCAACAGAATCTCTCTGTCTCGTCCAATGGGAGTCATGTTATGTAGTTAGTTTTCTCTCTCTCACCCGCCACTGAGCACATGGATGTGATCTTCACAGGCCGGGACTTTACTCTGAAATGTTGCTGACTGACGGATTCCTCAGCAGCCATAGACTGGAGTGGCTCTGCTTATTCCTGGGTTGTGGTCTGGGTCAGTGGCTTATTCTGAATGCCAGATGTTTGACTGCAGGGGGATGTACACATCGTGTGCAGGAGGGTCATGCAGCCAGCAGAGGGCAATGTAGCATCAGTGGCACTCCCCTCAACCGCAGTGTCAATTTAGTGACCTGCATGTTTATCCTGTTTAAAATGTACTTTCTATGATGAGAAGGTCACGTTGAGGCATGTACCAATAGTATTTTGGTTTAAACAGTTTGATCAATTGAGACACATTCATTGCAGTAATAAGAGTATAGGAGGAAGAGGAATAGTTCATATCATATACAACTATTTGAAAAATACAATAAAGCAAAGAAAATTGTGTATGTCATGGGTTATTACAGCAGCAGAGAATAATACTGACTGGATAACAGAATCTTAATGACAGCAACAACAGCTAGCTGCCTGAAATGACATGTAAGGTTAATGAAGTAATTAAAATCACAAAGAGTGCGTTGGTGTTTTGACAAGATGTAAGCTGTTTAGACAGCAGATAATTTGTTGGTGGATGAATCAGCAGCCGAGGCATCTGTGTTTCATATTTTTGGAGTACGGGAACTTATAGTTCACGAGAAAAGGCAGCAGCTTCAAAGTTCTCTTAAATCACACCCCAAGAGCAGAATAACATGCTTTCCCTCTGCAGCTGCAAGTCCTGTCCAAGTGCCAAAGAGTGTAAAACACCCAACACACAAGCATGAGATAAATTGATATTATTCTAAGTTTTTAGGGCGGGAGGGGGTCATATAAATATGTGCAGGGAAGTCATACCAAAGAGGAAGAATGTAATTGTCCATGTAAATGTGCTGCAGTCGAGAGGCTGTTCGGTAAACACATTTGGGCACTGATGCTGCTTGTATTTATGTGGGGAGTGGCTGCATTCACAGTCTTGTTGTGTAACAAGGCTGTTGGCAGCAGTAGCCTTGGAGATGCTCAGTACATTTTAGCTGCCGTTTTTGCTGTTTGGTAAAACAAATAATTAAATGATTGAACTTCACAGCCAGGGGTCAGAAAAGGAAGAAATAACAATATGCTTTCAGCAAGATGAGGGTATGAAGTACTGATTTATGTTTAACGATATGCAAGCTATCGGTAATACAGCCTCTATAACGCGGTATTATAAACAGGAGGTAACTTATTACCTATAAAGGCAGAACCTTTGGTGTGTTTATACAGAAGTAAAAATCAAGTGAGAATTCAGTTCTTTAGCTGCTTCCAGTCAAGGTGAATATACTTTTCCATCCATATCTGTAAAACATACAGTGGAACGAAATGGCATTTTTCAGGAACTGTGTGAAACCAAACAGATAACACAACACAAAAATCCAGCGGTTTCAAAGAAAAATGCAATACTCATAAACTGCAAAAAAAAAAAAAAATACAATGAAAGAATCAATTGGTTAAATCAGGTCGCCGTGGTATTGCGCAGTGCTGAAGAGATATCAGTTACAGGTGGAGCATGTGTGTCAATGCACAGTGATATGAGGAAATTTTACTCTGTGGCTACTGCAGACAGATAAATATGGAGATATTTTCTCACAGAGAGTGAACACTATTGTTTGGTCACTGGTGAAGGCTATATGATGGAGCAGCATTTTTCTTTTAACATAGAATAATACGAATCCTCGAATAATTGTGTGTGTGCACTCATGCAGTTTCCCCTCCTGATAAGAAAAGATGGAAAAAGACAAGCTGGGGAGTTGTGTGGAGAGTTAATGTGCTCCACTTACTTTTTCTGGCTGTACACAAGGAACTATTGCAGAGCGATATGGAGATCATCAGTTTTTCATCCCACCGAACAGCAGTTTACATTTAAAGTTTTCTTTTTTTTTTAACATATTTTTTATTGAGCACTCATATCACAGGAGTTGTACATGATACAACATTCACAAAAAAGCTGTAGACCAATGCTCACCTCATTTTGTATGAATTATTATTTATTCTCTCTAACTGTATGAACTGCATTAGGTCATTAAACCACAGAGACACACTAGGTGGATTTTTAGATTTCCAATGTAATAAAATTCTTCTACGTGCCAGCAGTGTTGTAAAAGCAATGATGTTTTTATATCTTTTCCTTATTGTACAGTATCATCTATCAGTAGTACCAAATATGGCCATTACTGCACTGGTCTGTAGATCAATATCAAGAGCCTCTGACAGTGTTTTAAAGATTGCAAACCAATAGGATGTTAAGGCTGAGCACGACCAAAACATATGGGTTAAGTCGGCAGGAGTATTTCGACACCTGTCGCAGCTTGCATCCGTGTTAGGGTATATTTTAGCAAGTCTGGCTTTGGAGTAGTGGATGCGATGTAAGATCTTAAACTGTATTATGCTTAATCTGGCACATGAAGAGCTGTCATTCACTCTTAGTAAAGCACTGTCCCAAGTGTCTTCTTCCAAGTCCTCTCCCAGCTCATCTACCCAAGCTGCCTTGATCTTTGCAAGAGTTGTATTTTTAAAAGAGGATATACAGTTATTGATTCTTGAAATAAGTCATTTAAAGCTGAAGGTAGTTTCTAACAGATCATCTAAACCAGAAGGTGATGGTAAATATGGAAAGTTGGGGTCATGATGTTGAAGGAAGTGGCGGACTTGGAAATAACGAAACAGGCTAGACCGAAGGAGGCCAAATTTATGTGATAAGTCATCAAAGCTAGCAAAAATACTGTTTATATACATATTTTTAAATTTGTAAATGCCTTGTCTTTGCCATAGAGTAAATTCGGAGTCTAATCTAGCTGGAAGGAAAAGATGATTATTGTGTATGGGACTTATATGGAGAAGATTATTAAGCCCGAAGCTATGTCTAAGTTGAAACCATATTTTGAGGGTATTTATGACTACTGGATTGTTGGTGTATTGCTCTGAGAGAGGTTGAAGTGCAA